GGCCAACTGGGCTCCCCTGATCGCCGATCGTGAGGCGGCAGCGACCTTTAGCGCGCTTGTGTTTGGCCCCCCGCGGCCCTCAAAACGCAGCGCACCAAAGATGACCTTTACCCAGGGCCACTCTTGCGTGCAGCCGAGTTCTCTTTCTCCGTTATAAGCGACACACTGCTTTGGCGCGCAGTGACATCCCCATCGGGCCCACGCACCCCGGATTCGCTCCAGAAAAAGCTGCCCACTGATTATTGCCCACGCCCTCGCTCCCTTCCTCTCTCTCCCTCCTCTCTGCCCTCCTCCTCTCCTCTTCCCTCCTCTCCCCTCCCTCTCCCTCTCCCTCTCTTACCTCTCCCCTCCATCTCCCCTCCCTCTCCTTCCTTCTCTTCTCTCCTGTCCCTCCCGCCTCTCTCTCTTTTCCCTCCCTCTCCCTCCCTCCTTTCGTCCCTCCTCCTCACCCCTCCTCCCCTGGGATATCCCCAGGCCGCTTCGGTTTCGGCCTGCTTCGGCTCCGGTCCGGTTCGGCTTCGGCCTGTTTCGTCCCAGCCCTTTTCCGCTCCGGCCCAAGCCGTAATGGGCAGAGGCCGAAACGGGCCGAAGCCGAAACGAGCCGAAAACACAAATGGGCCTGAAGCCGGATCGCGCTTGTCCGAGGATGGGACATGCGGTAAAGGGAGGTGGGAGGAAAAATGGGTAAGAGGCAGTTGTTGAGCGTCCGAGTGCGTAGCGCCATTATTTGGCACTGCATTCGCTCCCTGTATTACAGATGATCCTGGCCTTCGGCACTCTGACGGGCGGATCATCACCACCTCTCTCGAACTTCCTCCCTCTTCCTTCCGCCGGCTCCCTCCCCTCCCCTCCCTCCTGCATCATCCTCCCCACACCCTCCCTCCACGAGTACTCAGCATGAGTATTGCTTCTCTCTCTCCCCTGGAGATGGCCGGGGAGTGACCCGCCCCCGTCCGAGCATTTGCTTTCGCGCAGAATGCCAGTGCGCGGTCTTCACCGAGTTCCCATCGGTCGTGTGGCAGGTAGGTAGTTTGGGAGTCCTGGATTCCAAGGCTGATTTAAGTGCCGTCCTACTTCCGATTAGACGTAAGAGTGACCTTTCGCCGGAGTGACCTTTGGTGCGGGCACAGATGGGCCCTCAGATGGCTGAAAGCGAAGCGGTAGCAGGGGCTTGCGCGCCCAGGTTTGGTCTCCCCGCGGCCCCCAAAAAGCCGCGCACCAAAGGTCACTCTTAGCCAGGATCACTCTTGCGTGTAGCCGATACTTCAATGATCGAGTGGCTTCACCTTTTCCGTCTTCTTCAGGGTGCGGGCGGACACCCAACATATTTTCAGCGCCTTCCTACTTCCTCCCCTGCTTACCTCTTCCGACCGACGGGTAAGTGTTCGTTTCAGTCGGAGCGCGTTCGGTGTCCCAAAATGGAGCTGCCGCCTCATGGTTGGCCTCACTTTCGGATTCGCACTCTGCCCCCGCCGTTCAGAGCTTCGCCCTCGCCCCAGCGCGCGCCGCTCCTTCCTCATTGCTGTTGCCCCCATCTTCCCCACCTCCGCATCCATCTGGCTCTCTTGGTCCTCGCGCTCCTTCCACTTCGGGTCCTGCTGCTGCTGTTCGTTCTTGTGTTGGACTCCGGCCAGTGCCGCCGAAGCGGGTATGGAGGGGTTCGGGACCGCGGAGCGGAAAGCGGAGCACATCGTCCCCCCCCCCACCCCCCCCCGTCACAGAGCGGAGCTGCGACGGAGTGGAAAGCGGAGCACAGCGCCCCCCCCCCCGTCCCCCACAGAGCGGAGCAGCGACGGACCGGAAAGCGGAGCACATCGCCCCCCCCCCCACACACACACACAGAGCGGAGCTGCGACGGAACGGAAAGCGGAGCACATCGCCCCCCCCCCCCCCCTACACAGAGCGGAGCTCGAGCGAAGCTCAAGCCCACGCTCTTTCAAACTCACACGCCGGATCGGCGGATTTTCCTCCGGCTCTTGCCTCATCCTCCTCTTTCTCCTGCTCATCCTCCTGCTCATCCGCATCATCCTCCTGCTCCTCCTCCTTCTCCTCCCCCTCCGCAGATGTGCGCATCTCCCCTCGTCCGACTGCACATACCACGGAGGGGTCCGCCATGTCACGCGTCCATGGATAGAGCAGACATCAGTGTAGTACAGTCGGGGCCCTGAAGAAGGAATCCTTTTCGTTGGGGAGGGGCTCCGCGTTCCTCGATGGTTTCGCAGCTTGCCCTGGAGTTTTGCCCCAGGTTCTCGATACGAGATCGAAGTTCAACTTATGGAAAATAGGGGCCTCGTTCCTGATTTACACGCCGGTCGTTGAAAGTATGTATTTTTGGATTCCCAGATCCCAATCTACTTCAAGCGCCTTTCTATTTCAAGAGTCGACATGCTTTTGTTGTGTTTTGTTATTCTCTGGGAGGACCTGGACCCAATCTACTATATCCGCCTTCCTACTTCAGGTTTCTACCTACTTCTTCCGACCGACGTGTAGGGTTCCTTGGGTCAACGCCCCGACTGTACGAAGGGATGGGCGGGAGGGGTCGGATATCAGATAATATGATATGGCCCGAGCGCATGCAGCTTGCCCTCGGGCGGTCTGCCCTCCGCCATATGACGCCTCTTCTCTCCTCTGCTGGCCCGCCCCCTCTCGAGAGGGAAAGAAGCACACGGACACAATTCATCGGCGATTCCTGAGAACATATGGGAGAATAGGGGAAGTGGGGGGGAAGACAACAACCAAGAAAATGTGGGAGAATAGGGGGAATCTTTTGATTTGTGTGTATTTATTGGTGTGTCCCAGGGGGCCCCTTCACCCTCCTGGATCCCCCCACCCCTCCCCACCACATTGCAGAGCGTGGGCGCTGCGAAGAGAGGGAGGGAGAGAGGGGGGAAACAAGAGGAGGAGGAGGAAGAGGAGGAGGAGGAGGACCAGAGTAGATCCAATACGCATCAACTATGTTGCAAGGTAACCTCCCTCCACGCTCTCAGACTTCATCTCATTGAACGCCCCTGAGAGGGGCAGACACCGCCGCCTCACTGTTTCCTGGAACCCGGGGTTTCTTTGTGTGGGGGGGGTTCATGGCGACCCCAGGGTGTCCAGAAAGGCTCGGAAGACGGCGAAAGAGGTAGGCAAGAGGCTTCAGGGGCGCGGGTGGTGGTGGTGGTGGTGGTGGTGCCACAGGCCGGCGGCCGGCGCTTTTTTAGAACGTGGGGGGTCTGGGAGGCGTGGTGGAGGAGAATCTGGAGCACAAGAAGGACGGTCACGTACATGAACCTACGCTGGTTTCGAGAGTACGCAATGCGCAAATGCTCGTATCACGCGGCCAGGCTCATGGATCGAGAGGTCTTGTTCATGTACACAGCTGGGCGCGTACGTTTTTTGTGGGCTCCCTAGAGAAGGAGGGGAGTTGAAAAGATGCTAGAGTGCGGGAGGGGCGGAGGTCGAAGACGGGCACAGATGGTCTCTGGCAACCCCGCTGAACTTGCGCACCAGAAGGCGAGACGGGTGCCCGAGACGGCCCCTGTTCCAACTTGGCGCGGAGTTTGGGCGAGGGGGCGAAGACGGCCCCAGAGGGTCGAAAAGACGCCGAGACGGGTCCAAGAAGGCCACCAGAGGGCCCGAACAGGCTCGGAAGACGGCCCAAAAGGGCACCCGAAGGTGTCGAAAACGGCGGAGCGAACCGAAGAGGGATACGGAGAGCCAGAAAGGAGCACTCCCGCGAGCGTCTGGGGCCTCAGGATGCTTTCCAGGGGCCCCCCCGGGCGCGGCGAAGACGGCCCACGAAGGATCCAAGAGGGCGGCCAGGCGGCCGAAGATGGGTCCGGGAGACCTTCAGGACGGCCCAGGAGGCCTCGTAGAGAGTCCAACGTGACTGGAGAGGAGTGGCGCAAGATGCTGCAAGACTTCATTGAATCGCTTCGCTCATTCCGCTGGCCCACATCTAATGGCCTTCGGCCAATCTGGCCCCCGTGTCTGGGTGGTGGGTCTGAGGCTTCTTGGGTGGTCGTCGGGATATCGTCGAGGCCTGTCGGGGTGCTCCTAGCGGCAGGTCTGAGACTGTTGGTGGGCAGTTTGGGGGCCTGGGGCCTCTTTTGGGGCCTTTTAGGGCCGTTGTGGGGTCTTTGGGGGGCCTCTTGGACCCCCCCTGGGCGCCTCTTGGGGTGGAGGGCTATGATTTTCGGTGCGCGCTCCCCCCTCGCGGGGCCGTCTTGGGGCTCTCCTGGACCGTCTGGGGCGCCCGTTGGGCCGTCTTGGGGCCCTCTTGGAGGCCTCTGTGGAGGCCTTGGGGCCCCTTGGGACGTCTTGGAGCATCGGGAGCTCGAAAAATAGAGAACCCAAAACAAATTCAAAGAGCAACTGCAAGTCGATGATTTTTGCCTCTCGGGGGGCTCTTGGAGGCGACTGGAGGCAATTTTGGGCATTTTGGACTGATGGTTCAGCGATTCGGGGCCCTCTTGAACCAGCTTGTGGGCCTCTTTGAGGTCTGCAAGACCGCCCGGGGAGTTTCGGCATCCTTGAGCTCACCTCGCCTGGACCTTGCCGTGTTTTTGTTTCGTTCGGGGACCCGAAGTGTTCTAGCCCTATTGCCGGAGATTTGGCACGCCTCTGGCCCGTTGGGCCGGCGACGTTTCATTGCCGAACCGTCTGAAGATCCCAAAGTTTTTCGGGTGCCAGAACACCATTCCTAGGAGTTCAACGCTGAGAGTCAACGCGACTGTAACGTCTTGGGAACCATGAGCCGCGACGGAATACCCTGCCTTGGATCCCAGCGCCGTGGATTCGTGTGATTGGTGTGCTCCTCGGGCGCACAGGGGGGGAGGAGGAGCAGCTGGAAGAAGGAGCAGGAGCGGGAGGATGAGGGAGGAGCAGAAGCAGGAGCAGCTGGAGCAGGAGCGGGAGCAGGAGCGGGAGGAGGGCGAGGAGCCACGCCCCTCCCCCACCTCCCGGCGGGTGACCAGCCGCCCAGCCGGCTGCTGCCGTGCACCCCCCTCCCCAACCAGGCCATGGCGCCCCCCGCTGGCGCCGGCGCGGCTGCTGCGGCGGATGCGGGGGCCGCGCAGGCGCAGGGGCGAGGGGGGGGGCGTACCAAGGGGGGCGTGCTCCTCCTCCCTTTCTCCTCCTCCTCCTCATCCTCCTCCTCCTCCTCCTCCTCCCTGCCGCCTCCTCCTCCCTTCCTCCTCCTCATTTCCTCCCCCTCCTCCTCCTCCTCCTCCTCCTCCTCCTCCTCCTCCTCCTCCTGCGCAGGGGCGAGCGAGTGGGGGAGATGGGGGAATAGGATGATGTTGCTGTTGACAGTGGTGGTGATGATATTGGTGATGCCGATGTTGTGCTGTTGGAGTTGCTGATGGTGATGGTGGTGGTGATGGTGTTCATGTGGATGCAGAGGTTGATGCGGATGCAGCTCCTAATCGTGATGATGAGCATGATGCTAATTTTGATGATGATGATGATGATGATGATGATGATGATGATGATGATGACGATGACGATGACGATGATGACGATGAGTCTGATGATAATGATGAGTATGATGATGATGATTATGATCATGATGTTTATGATGATGAGGATGAGGATGATGCTGATGATGATTATTATTATTATTCGTGCGATGATGACGATGCTGATGATGATGTGGATGATGGTGTTGGTGGTGGTGGTGTGGATGACGATGCCTATGACGATGACGACGTCGATGACAACGGCCATGATGATGCCGATGATGCTGATGATGCTGAATGTGATGATGTTCATGAGTATGATGATGCTGAGGATAATGGATTATTGGTGTGACGGAGATTGTGTTGATGATGGTGATGATGATGGTGATGATGATGAGGATGAACATGATCACGATGATTATGATGAAGATGGTGATGCTTGATGTTGTTTGTTGATCCTTAATGGTGTTGTTGAGAGGGGGGGGGAAGGGATGGGGAGGGGGGATGGGAGTGAAGACCTGGAGGAGCTGAGAGCGGAGTGGGCCAGATGAGGAGGGCAGCTTGCCGCCGCCGCGGCCCCGCGTGAGGTGCCCTCGCACACGGTGAGGTATCGCTGCCCCGCCTGCGGCGAGCTTGTCGCCAGCCTGGAGGAGGTCGCCGCCCCTGGCCGCAGAGGGGGAGAAGGATGTTTAGTGTGCGTGTGCGCTCTGGTAAGGGCGTTTACTGAGGAGGAGGAGGAGGAGGTGGAGGAGCAGGAGGAGGGGGGAGGAGGAGGAAGTGGTGGTGGTCGAAGAGGGGAATGAGAACGAGGGGAAGGAGGAGCAGGAGGGATACGCGAAGGACATGATGGAGGAGGAGTAGGAGGAAGAGGAGGAGGGGGAATTAGGAGTTACGTTTGCCAGGTCGCGCGGGTCGGAGGGCCCCGCCAATTTCCACCCTCCCTCCCACACCATACTAGTAAAGGGTGGCACTCCCTGGATGTTCTCATTGGATTCCGTTTCTACCTCGCAGATAGAAGGCTCGCGCGCGGCCCCGCTTCGGACGACTTGGCGAAGGGAAAACTATGCGGGCCGCGCAGGGGCGGGAGCTGCAAGCTTTTTGATGGGCGCGGCGAAGATTCATCAGTATGCGCCGCTCTGGCACAACACTGCCACTTACACTCACGAACTGCGCGGCATCTGGGCGAGGTCTGCATTTCATTTCGCCCGCTCTCGCGCGGCCCCGCTGCCGCTGTTGTTGTCATCAGATTCGGCGAACGAACCACCCGCTGCGCCCGTGAGGGAACGCCAGAACCGAGCGAACTGCACACAGAACTCGGGCTCGCGTGGCCCCCCGTAGCATTGGGCGAGTGGAAACGTGCGCCGCGCCTCTGGAGCGCCGCTTTCAGGCGAAGGAAGCGCGGCGCCGGGGCGAGAACGATATGTTCGCTTGCTCGCCTGTCGACGGAGTGGCACGCGAACAGTGTGCGCCGGGCTCCAGCGGGAGCTCGACCTGGCGGAAGAAGGAGCACGGCGCCGAGGCGAGAGAGCGACACGTCGGCCGTTCGCGCGGGCTGTGCGCCCCGTCCCGCTCCTGCCACGCATGCTGCAGCCTGGACGGCATGAGGTGCATGTTGAGAGATAAGGTTCATACGGGTCTGGGATCGGGCGGCTATCGGCTGGCTGCGGTGGGGAGCAGCGCACATAGTGATAGCGAGTAAGGATGGAGGGAGGGGGAGGGAGGGGAGGAGGGAAGTGTTGATGGAGGGGGGGGAGGCCTGCGAGGAAGAGGATGTGGAGGAGTAGGAACAAAAAATGGAAAAGGAAGGAATCAGGAAGGAGGTGCAGGAGGAGGAATGGGATGAGGAGGAGGATGACGAGGAGGAGGAGGAGGAGTAACAGGAGGAGGAGGAGGAGGAGGACCAGTGCAAACCGAATATCCACCAACGATATTGCAATAAACATCCCTCTAAGCTCCCTCTTCATAGGCCCCTGTAAGGATTCATCTTCACTGAGGGAATTTCCCGTTGAAGACAACCGTTTGAACATCCAGAATTGCGCCATCTCTTGGACCTCGGCGCCCCGACTCACAGTTTTTACTGTTTCGTCCTGACGATCGTGAACCGTGCCAAAACACCATTCGTGGGACGGCACCTCCGCGAATCAATGTGACTGTTGCGCCCTGACATTCCGGCATCGTGCCAAAACATTATTTTTGGCACGGTAACCCTGAGAATCATGAAAGCGGTTGCAATCAATAAGACGAATGTGCGTGGAGCTGAGGCGAGAGCCACATATTGACCAGGAACCGCCCTCTATCTACGAAACTCGTGAAAACTTTAAGGGCGAATATGCGCCGCGCTGAGGCGAAAACCACATGTTGAAAACGGACCGCCCTCCATCCGTGAAACTTATTGTGTTTCAGACCGACTGCGCGCGGCGCTGAGGCGAGAGCCACACCTTGAAAACGGGCCGCCCTCCACCCGCTAACTTTTGCAAAGTGAAAACGAGTGCGCGCAGTGCTACAGCGAGAACCACATTTTGAAAGTGGCCCGCCTTCATCCGTGAAACTGTTGCAAATTTGAAGCTTCACAGCGGCCTGTGTTTTATTCTGGGGCGATCACGGCCGTCTCCAGGGGGGGGAACGGGGGCCGGTGACGTCACGTTTCGCGCTGGCGGCGTCTGGGAATGCCCAGGAGTGACCGAGGACAGGGAAGAGAAGCATGTAGGTGGCGATCTGCACAGAAGCGCCTCTGTGAACCAGAGTACCTGCGGGCACCACAGCGCCTGTTTACACCACAGCGCTCATGTACACCGCAACAGCGCCCGTTCACTCCACAGCAGCCGTGTGCAACACAGCACCGGCGTACATCGCCTATATACACCACGGTGCCTGTGTGCACCACGCACCACAGCAACCGTGTGCAACATAACACCAGTGTTGCATATGGAACTTTAGAAGGAAACCTCCAGATTAAATGGAAAGCCTGGGGATTTCACAGAAAACAATTGATTTTTGTAGGAGTTGGAAAGGAGTCCTTATGGATAAAGGAGCCCCTCTGGAATCTATGAGTCCTCCAGAGTCTTCCCGCATCATCCTAGCTCCTCCCATCTGCGTCCAGAAAGCCCCCGCAGAATTGGCCGTCCGAGAATCAAGTGGGCTGATTCAATAAACAACTATTCCAGGATGCGCACTGAGATGTCCCCATCGTGTGGGTCGTGCGTTGTAGCGCCGGCCCGCACGATGGGGGCAAGGGCGAGGGAGCAGGAGGAGGAGGAGGAGAAGAAGGAGGAGGAGGAGGAGTGGGAGAAGGGAGGAGGGAAGAAATTCGCATTCTATTTCCATCATTCCCCCCGCGTGGTGTCTAGGTGTCCGCAGCAGATCCTCACCTACATGCTCCTTCTACCTAACCTGTGCTCGCGGGCGCTGTCGTGTACACCAGCTTTGCGTTGCACGCGGATGCTGTGGTGTACACGGGCGCTATACAGGGAGGTTTTTAATACATGACTTGCGCGCGCGGAGGGGTAATTTTGCCTAGTCTGCGAGCATGTATTACTATTCCAATGTATTCCCGTGCGCGCGCGCCGGGGCTTGGTTTTCCTACTCTGCGGTTGCCCGGCGGCGCCCACTGCCGTTTCCTAATGGCCTGTTGCGTGCGCCTTTTTTTTTGAATATATAAAAAGTAATATGCATTCTGGTGCGCGCGCGCAATTGCTCATCGGAGGTAGTGAGCGACCATGTTGCTTCATCGTCCGCGCACGGGTGCCTTTTGATTAGTCTTCGGACATGTTTTTCATAATCGTACATATTCTGGCGCGCGCGCGGGAGATGCAATTTCTCGTAGTCCACGACCATGCATAATAAACATCCCATGTATTAATAATCCCGTGTAATACAAACCTCCCTGTAGTGTGCACAGGCGCTGCGGTGCACGCAAGCATTGTGGTGTACACCAGTGCTGTGTTGCAGACGGCTGCTGCGGTGTACGCATTCGTGGAGGTGTATACAATCGCCGTGGAGCACGCGAACACTCTGGTGTGCACAGGCGCTGCGTTGCACACGGATGTTGCGCTATACGCAGGCGTTGAGGTGTACGCGCGCGCCGTGGTGCACGCGACCAATGTGCTGTACGCGTGCGTTATCGTGCAGATCGCCATATGCATGCTGCTCCTACCTGGCCTCGGTCATCCCTATGCATTCACGCACGCCGCCTGCGCGGGACGTGACGTCACCTGGGGGGTGGGGGGGGGGGTGCGCGGGGCCGGTGGCGGTCGTTACCCCGGAAGCTTAAAACAGGACAGGCTCGAATCATAAAACCGACCTCGACCCCCCACCGGTGACGTCGTCATGCGCGCGGCACTCGAGAACGGGTGCCGCGCGCGGGTCATCACCGCTGGGGCTTCGGCGTCGTGCCCGGAACGTCGCCGGGGGAGGTTTCCTCAGCCCAGTGGTTAGTGTTGTCTCTTCTTCGCGCGAACGGCGCACACTGCAAGCCTGTCCCTCTCTCCCTCAACGCCCCTGTTCCCCTTTCACGCGTGCTCCTGCTCCCCTCACTAGCTCAACGCCCTGCTCCGCTTCTCCCCCGTGATGAGGACCAGGAGTGAGGAGGGAGGAGGGAGGAGGAGGAGGAGGAGGAGGAGGAGGAGGAGGAGGAAGAGGCGGAGGCGGAGGCGAAGGAGGAGGCGGAGGCGGAATCGGAGGAGGAGGAGGAGGAGGAGGAGGAGGAGGAGGAGGAGGGAGGAGGAAGGAGGAAGGAGGAAGGGGGGAGGAAGGAGTTGGAGGAGAAGAAGACGGAGGAGGAGAAACGGGGGAAGGGGAGACGTGAGACAGTGAGGAGGACCCTCCAACCCTCTCAAACGACTTGCTCTCCCTGACCCCTCTGCGTCATACACCCTCGTCCTCCTCATGTCTTGTTGTCCTCGGCCCCCCACCCGAAAATCCAGACCCCTTTACGCCGAGATTACGGTGGGACCGAGGTACGTACAACATCGAGGTCGGTCTGGGGAGGATATTTACCCTGATGTGTTCCGTGCTTGTTGGATGCTCTTGGGCATCCTGTGGGAGGGTGCCCTCGAAGGTTATTCGGTTTGGCCGGCGGAGGGCCGCATGTTCCTGAAGGATGTGATTCTGTCCTATGTCCATTCGTACCCATTGGTTGTTGAAAGTAGGTATGTTTGGATTTCCAGATTCCAGTCTACTTTAATCGCAATCCTACTGCAATGATCGAGAGGCTTCACCTTCTCCTTCCCCCCGATGGGGTGGACGGAACCCAATCTACTTTCAACGCCTTCCTACTTCATGTTTCTAACTACTTCTTCCGATCGGTGGGTAATGTGTTGACAACATTGGCCCGACTCTTCCGTTGCGACCGAGGGTGTCTGGTGATGAGTTTGGGGAGATCAGGTTGCAACTGCCGGGAGGCTAGATTCAGCGTCGGCGCCAGTTCCGTTCCGTGCCTCATCCCGCCGAATCCAGCGACATCCGCCTGCATCGATGCGTCCCAACGGAATCTGGACCCGCCCCGGCTTCCTGCTGGACGTAAGCACAGTCGTGCGCAGCATTCCCACGACGACCTCCCAGAGTTTTTGTTTATCCTGCGTCTGCTGGGCGGGAGGAGGGCCAGGGATCCGATCCCGACTCGTTTTTTTTTTTCAGTCCTGGGGCCCAGCGAGGG